CCATCACAAATACGACCGATCCATGTTTGTGAAAAATCTCCACACTTACTCACGAGATCAATTAACTTTTCAGCTCAAAAACCAGACCAGATCAATACAAAGGGAGAATAACAAATAAATAAACTATTGAAAATATACGAAACATCCCATAAAACATTACAAAATCTTTTCATTTCTGGCTAACTAAATGATTTCACTCAAAAACTCTCCAGCAAAATACGTTCCATTTTATGCTTCTTCAAAGAAATAAGTTTCGAAAACGATTACAATTCTTGTTAATCACCACATCGAACAAAAGTTTTGAGGATTATTTTGATGCTAGCAGGTATATTGACAATTAAGGTTGTATATTCATACCAATTGCTATGTCAGTTCGTTACTAACTGACGTTTTATTATAACAAATTCATTCGCAATAGAAATTTATCAGTTAGTTGTTAGCGGTATCACAATACAACAACATTTCCAATCAAGACATTCGTAACAATCAAAAACACATTTCAATTTATTTCTATCAAAATAATTCTCCAAATATAATTTATCATCATCGACGTTAACATGCGATTCGTACGTTTGATAGTCGGATCAGCTCTTTGCCAAACTTCTCATACAATTCGCCACCTTCCTGAAAAAACTTAACGTTTAAGAGACGCGATAAGCCAGTCTAAACGCGAGATTTACGACCAGCGAATTGAAGATGAGTAAAAGAAACGATACGCTTAAGCCTGATAATGACACAATTTCATATTCGTTCATCCTGATCGTGTTCTTCAGTGAAACGAACCTTACAATGCTCGTTCAAACGGAAATTATATCTTCACGAATCACCTTGCAACAAATCCAGACAACTAGCGAAGTATACAACAACAATGTATTCATCGAATAATGTCACAAAAAATAACAATACCAATCAAAGAACAATAAGAAAACCGAACTGAACCTTAAAAGTTGGACTCGCCTCCCTCATTGTTAACGCAATTCGCCGTCCAGGAACATGCTGCGACAGTACTCCATGTTTCCACTTATATCTCACCTCATCGGCCATACAAATTAATGTTCTACAAAACACACAATCGATGATAAATCATATCTCAATAATCTTAACCACATTGGTATCTTAACGAGTCGCTTCTATTACTGATCTCTGCTCCTAGTGCTCATAAATATGAATAATTCAACAAATATAGCGGAATGAGTTCCAAATAATTTTAGAGCAAAACATCGCATCTGAATCATTTGATACGACGAACCTTCGCTTTAAAGCCGCATAAACAACGATTCGTTTCTCATCATTGGTGAACGTCATTACGCAGTCATTCAACAGATTCACACTGAAATTCAATTGAAATGAATTCATCATTTCATTCATCATTCGTAAGCACCTCTGAAGGTATCATGCATTCATTCCTGAAGAGAATCTCTT